GCTGGCCATCCGCACCTCCGGGCGGGCGCACGCCGTCGTCGGGGACGCAGCCCTCGATCTCGTCCCCGTCGATCCAGAGCACGATCCTCGGCCGGACGCTCGGGGGGTCGAGGCAACTGCGGCCCTCCCTGGCGTTCTTCGCCACTCCTCCCTCGTAGCGCTTCGCTAGAGTAATAATGGGTTTGCTTTCCACCGCCACCACAAGTTGGAGGGGGAGGGGGTCCTCCTCCTCCTCCTCGACCTCCTCCTCCTCCTCCTCCTCCTCGTCCTCCTTCTCCGTCCCCCCTCCAACTTGTGGTGGTGGTGGTGGTGGAAAACCGGCCCATCACAGAGGGTTCCCGAAGCCCGCTTCGCAGAACAAAAGAAATCCCTCAGAGGGGGGGGACGGGGAGCCCTTGTACCGCCCAAGGTCCGCGGCCGCTTCGCCCGAGACTTCCCCGCGTGGTTTCAAACAATCGAACCGTGCTCTCGCCTCACATGCCAGCTACAGTCGGACCTGAACCCCTCCGAGGGCCACGTTGCCACAGAAATGTCGGGAGCGGCCAAGAGGGAGGTGTCCAAGAGGGGGGGGTGCAAATCATGACCGGCGGCATGTGCGCGGCCAAGCGGGGAGGCCAGGGACGCAATGAAATAAGAAGGGACTCCATAAAATTGGGGAAACATCATGGCCCCCGCCATAATATCCACCCCCCTAGTCATCACCCCCTTCTTTTCCGCCCCCGAAAATGCAGGAGGCATGGGTCGCAAGACACAGGACACGAAGGTACCCTTGATCTGGCAGGGTCGACCTACTGATCCGGCTCGACTGCACATGCTCGGCCTGGACGGCCACGAGCCCCCGCAAGAGAAGCACGAAGGTGCCCACGGCCGTGCCCTCATCCCTGAAGGGGCCCTGGGACACACAAATCCGCCGACCCTGTCGGCGTGTGTGAGGGTTTGTTTCGTTCGACTCGTCGTCTCCGTCGTCTCCGTTCTCCCCCTCCCAGGGCTCTCCTCCTCAAGCGCGCTATCCAAAGCAAAATTAAACGACGTCGTAGTGGAGACGAATGGAAGCCCCTTCCCTTTGATCCCTTCCCCGCAGGGGGAGGGGGGGGGGAGGGGGGGGGGTGGGGGGGAGGGGCAGATACGACGCCCGCCGGGGCGCACTTTCCTCGAGCGGGCACGCACGGGATGCACTTCCTCCTCCTCCTGGTCCTCCTCCTCCTCCTCCCTCCTTTTCCTCCTCCTCCTCCTCCTGCTCCTCTCCTCCTTCTCCTCCTCCTCCTCCTCCTCCTCCTCCCGCAGAGGCGTCCCCAGGAGCGAGCCCCGAGTCAAAATACCACCCCCCTAGGGCGCATTTTCCTCGAGCGGGCACGCCCGAGATGCACTTCTTCCTCTTCCGGAGCACGTCCCAAGTCAGAATATCACACTCCCGGGGCGCACTTTCTTGGAGCGGGCACACAAAGGATGCACTTCCCCCTCCTCTCTTCTCCTCCTCCTTCTCTTCCTCCTCCTCGTTCCTCCTCCTCCTCCTCCTTCTCCTCCTCGTCCTCCTCCTCCTCCTCCTGCTCCTCCTCCTCCTCCTTTTCCTTCCTCCTCCTCCTCCTCCTCCTCCTCCTCATCCTCCGCTTCCTCCCCCTACTCCTAGCCCTTTCGATCAGGGTCGGCGGCACCGGCCGTCAGGCCTCTCCAATAAATACACACAAATCAAAGGATTCCCCAGATTTTCCTATATTTTCTGGGTTTTTGTCCTCCCCCCCACTTCCCATATCTTCCTATATTTTCCTGGGAATCGACGATTGATTGTGTCTGTGTGTTTTTTCTCCTCCTAATCATCCCCCGTGCCCTCGACCCGCACATCGACCGTTGCCGCTGTTGGCGTGCTGTACTGGTGCATGCAATTGAGCATCCCATGGTCAGGAGGGGAAAAAACGCACAGACACAATTCATCGTCGATTCCCTGGAAAAGATTGAAAAATATGGGAAGTGGGGGGGGAGACAAAAAACCAGAAAATATTGGAAAATATCGGGAATCCTGTTATTTGTGTGTATTTATTTGTGTGTCCTGGGGCCCCTTCACATGGGCTTTCGCCGCGGATGGATCCGCATCGAAATGTGGGGCAAAACTCGGGGATCTACTGACCCGGGGTCAATCCAAACCGGGGCCCGTCGGGCTTTGCAGGATCCTGCAGGATCGGGCGCTCGGGCTGACCCCCGTCGGCATTGACCCCCGGGACAGATCTTGAGCGCGGTGGGGCCAGGCGGGCAACCCAAAGATCCCATGATTTTTTCAGATAGGGGTTTCCCGAAGACCCGACCCTTTCCCCGGGACCGGTTTTTCGTCCTGAGTCGTTTTTTGACGGTCCCGAGGCCTGGCGAGGGCCCTATAGCAGCCGAACTCTGCGAAAAACCACCGTCTTGACTTTTTCAATACGTTGGATCTCTGGGGAGCCGCCGGTGCCTCAACTGGCCACCCTCTGGATCCGGGAGAGTCGGGCCGGGCGAAAGGGGGGGATAGCAAAGGGGGGGTTTGAGAATCAGCTCACGTAGCTGATTCTCCCGGCGCCTCCCGGCGCCGGGGGCGGCCATGCCTCGAGGAGTGGGCCCCTCGCATGGGGCCGACACCAGCTGCATGCAGCAGACTCCGTAGCCCCCACTTTCCCGATGCCCCCCCATCTCGCCATCGCTCGGACGTTCATTTCCCGTGCATTGTTCGGTTGCGTGCGTGTGTTTGTTTGCTCGATGGTCCAGGATCGTCCTCAATGGCTCTCGCCGAGAATTTGGACGCCCGAAATGGGTACCGAAACAATGGGTACTATGCCCAACAGCAAATGTTGTCCCAAACCAACAGCGGCCGCTGTTGGGCAGGCGGCCTCCTGTCTCGAATGGACACAAGCCGCGGCGGCGTGGACAGCGAGCCCTGCTCAAACTGCACAAGATCCGCTGTTGGGCATTGTACCCATTCTTTCAGTACCCATGTCGTGCGTGCAGAGAGAAAAAATGCACACGTCCGAGCGATGCCCCGGCCGTTCCTCCGGCCCGAGAGAGCTGCCCCGCGGCGGCCCCCGCCGATCGGAGGAGGCGCGACGCCGCCCAGGGCGGCGTGCAGCCCCTGCGCCCGCGGAGGCCGCGTATTGTCGCCCTGGGCCGCTCCGCCCGGCGAGGCCCGCCTCGGGCCTCGGCGTGGCGGCCGTGCCCGGGCGGGGCCGCCCCCGGCGAGGCGAAGCTGGCGGGTCTCCTCCTCCTCCTCCTCCTCCCCCTCCTCTTCCTCCTCCTCCTCCTCCCTCCTCCTCCGCCTCCTCCGCCTCCTCCTCCTCCCCTCCTCCTCCCTCCTCCTCCTCCCCTCCTCCTCCTCCTCCTCCGCCCCCTCCTCCTCCTCCTCGTCCTCCTCCTCCTCCTCCTCCTCCTCCGCCTCCTCCTCCTCCTCCTCCTCCTCTCTCGTGCCGTTTCGACGGAGCCTGGGTCTGTCCAGGAGGGGGGGAGGACCGCGCAGTCGCAAGCAGGACCCGGACGACAGGCGAGGCCGTCCCCGGCGGCGAAGCTGGCGAAGCCGTCTCGTGGGACGCACAGGGACATACTTATACTATATGTCCTCCTTGAAGGCGCGCGTCCGACCCGAACACTTAATACACCAATATTGCAGCATATCGTTTCCCGAGCGGTGTGGCCAGAAAGCGCCCGCCACGACGCATGTACTATAAGATTTCTCGGTGCGCGCGTCGCCCCTGAGGGGGCGACGCATATACAGTAGAAGTATGTTGGGGAGACGCCGATCTCGTGCCGTTTCGACAGGGTCTGGTTCTGTCCAGGATGGGAGGAGGACCGCGCAGTCGCAAGCAGGACCCGGACGACAGGCGAGGAGGAGGGGGGGGAGAAGCCACATATCCTCCGTCCTCTTAGGACATGCCACGCAGACGGGGAGGAGCAGCTCCAGCGACGTCAGGGCATCTGGAAGGGGGATTCAGGCCCGTCGAGGGCTTCTGGATGGAGTCCATAAAAGCAAGTGGTCCACTTAAAGACTCTAGGCTTATCTGAAAGGTTTCTGAGAGGCTTCCGAGAGGATTCTATACGAGAGGCATCGAAGCGCTGAGCAGGCGAAAATCCCAAGACTCGCCTCCATAGCCCCCAGCGGACACTCCCCCTCGCGAGCCACCTCCTTCCCTTGATGCTTCATCCTTCACATCCTCCGCGACGGCACCCCCTCCATCGGGCGCCTGTCAGTCGGCGATCGCCCCCCCCCGAGCAGCATCCACCCCGCTGGCGTCGGTCAAGGGGCCCAGGGAGGCACACATAAACGGATACAAATGTCAAGACTCCAGATATTCCTATACATCAGAGTGAGGGGGCTGAACCGAACGGTCATTCACTGTCCCTGGGTGCGTGGCTGAAGTGGAATTCCGCGATGCGGATTCGTGCTGTTTTTGTTGTTGTTGTTGCTGTTGTTGCTGTTGTTGGTGATGTTGTTGGTGTTGTTGTTGTAAACGTTGTTGTTGTTGGTGTTGTTGTTTGTTGTCGTCGTCGTCCCACACGCGACCCGCCCCGCGACCCCCCAGGCGACCCACCCCGCGACCCACCCGCGAGCCACCCGCGACCCACCCTGCGACCCAACCGCGACTCCCCTCGCGACCCACCCCGCGAACCACCCGCGACCCACCCGCGACCCACCCGCGACCCACCCTGCGACCCGCCCGCGACCCACCCCGCGAGCCCCCGGCGACCCACCCGCGACCCACCCGCGACCACCCGCGACCCACCCGCGACCCACCCACGACCCAACCGCGATTCACCGCGACCCACCCGCGACTCACCCGCGACCCACCCCGCGACCCACCCAAAATGTTCGGCGCCTGCGGCGGGTTTCTTTTGCATTTGTTCCAGGTGGGGAACCTGCGACCCACCCGCGACCCAAACCGCGTTCAGTGTACAAATCAAAACTTTCGGCGCCTGCGGCGGGCTGTTTTTAAATTCCTTCCAGATGGAGGTGGAGAGCCCGCGACCCACCCGCGACCCAAACTACGTTCACTGAACAAGCCAAAACTTGAGCGCCTGCGGCGGGTTTCTTTTGCAGCGGCGACCCACCCGCGACCCACCGGCGAGCCACCCGCGACCCACCCCGCGACCCACCCGCGACCCACCCGCGACCCACCCGCGACCCACCGCGACACAACCGCGACCCACCCGCGACCCACCCCGCGACCCGCCCAAAATTTTCGGCGCCTGCGGCGGGCTTCTTTTGCAGCCGTTCCAGGTGGAGAACCTGCGACCCACCCACGACCAAAACCGCGTTCAGTGTACAAATCAAAATTTTCGGCGCCTGCGGCGGGCTGTTTCGACGCCCGCGTTGCCCGCACCCGCGCCCACTCTTATCCGCAATTGCGGGGTGGTACATCTGTTTATATGTCAGAGTGAGGGGGCCCGAACGGTCATTCACAGTCTCTGGGTGCGTGGCTGAAGTGGGGATCCACGGCGAGGATTCGTGTTGTTGTTTGCTGCGTCGCCCCCGCGATGCATCGTCGACGTTGGTGATGCATCGGCGATGTCAGCGTGGAGGAAATCATGAAGGGGCCCCAGGACACACAAATAAATACACACAACTAAAAAGATTCCCCATCTTTTGGCATTTGTTTCTGGGGTTTTGTCTTCCCCCCGCTTCCCATATTTCCCATATTTTCCTGGGAATCGACGATTAATTGTGTCTGTGTGTTGTCTCCCTCCTGAAATCAGGCTCCACATCGAGCCGCATCGCCGATGCGTCGGCGATGCGGCGCCGTCCTCCGCCCCGTCTTCTCCGAGCCCACCTGGGAGACCTCGACCACTGTGGGCCCCCCTCGTGGCCGTGAAGCTCCTCGAGGCCTCCTGCCGCCAGGGCCGCCGCGCACCGGGCACACGCTGGCACGGCTCACGGACCGGCGGATCCGGCGCGTGGGCACCGTGCAGAGCCGCGCACATCGGGGCAGACAAGACGGCGCCGGCGCCCCCTGATCTGGCGATGGAGCGCGCCGAGTCTGCACAGACACGGGACCCGCCGCAGATCCACGCGCCTGAGCCCATGTCCGAGGAGGAGGAGGAGGAGGAGGAGGAGAGGAGGAGGAGGAGGAAGGAGACGGAGGAGGAGGAGGAGGAGGAGGAGGAGGAGGAGGAGGAGGGGGAGGAGGAGGAGGAGGAGGAGGGGGAGGGGGAGGCGGAGGAGGAGGAAATTCCATGAAGGCAATGTGTTCTGATTCGATCGTCGCCCCTCGTCGAAGGCCCACGTCCTCCACGAGCCGCCGGGGCCCGCCCCGGCGAGCCGGGCGGGCACCCACATCTCCTCGGGGCGGCGGGGCACCATCACAGCAAGGATCAGGGGGGCGTAAGACCCGGGTACAGGGGACTCGGAAATCCCCGACGAGGTCGTCAAAAAAATGACGAGGCCGAGCCTGCATTTTGACGAGGCCTCCCGCTGCAAACATCCCACGAAACTCCTACTCGTCAAAATCCGAGTCGCGGTCGTCAAAAAACGATGGCGAACCCGAGTCCTGGCAAACCCGGGTCTTACGCTCCCCCGAAAGGATAACATCCGGCTTCCTCCACCTCCTCGTCGAAGCCTCGAAGCTGCCGGCAAGTTTGGATGAGCCGTTGCCCTCGACCACCTCCCACAGGTCGGTGGGAGGGGCAACAGAAGCATCTTCCTCCTCCTCCTCCTCCTCCTCCTCCTCACCCGCCTCCTTTTCCCCCAGCGCCTCCACCTCCACCTCCTTTCCATACGCCAGATTCAGCGGGAGTATGCCGGGATCGCTCTGCCAGTTCTCAACCGCGGATATACTCGGGGCGTCCAAAAATATAGCGACCAAATGGAGGGTTCGGAAATCATGGCCCGAGGCATGTGCGCGGCCGCGGGGTTGGCCAAGGGACGTATGAAATAAGAAGTGCTGTGAGATCTGGGGAAGTATCATTGCCCCGGCCATGATACCCCCCCCTTTGTCATCACCCCCTCTGTTGACCCCCCGACGCTTTCGACCGCGGGGACACCAGCCCCGATGGTCAGTCCGGCCTCCCAAGAGCTTGCGGGCAACACTTATGTCCGGATCCAGTGCGTCTTGGACTTTCTTGGAAAGGGGCACCACAGCGTCTGGGGGACAGTCTTATACCCATAACCCTTGCGCCTCGGGTCTCTGCGGAAAGGGAGCCCGAACCTTCAAGCTGCAATGGATATGGACCAAAGTTTTCCCTGTTTTCGTCGCGGCCGCCGCCGCCATCGTCGTCGTCGATCATCGTCGTCGTCGTCGTCGTCGTCGTCGGCGTCGGGACCCTCCTCCTCGTACTTTTCCTCCTCTTCCTCCACCACCTCTTCCTCCTGCCCGCAGAACTGCGTCCGCAATTTTGGCCGCCCCGATCCTCCGGAGGCCAGTACGCCTCCACGAGGTCGCCCGGGGCGAGGCCGGTGCGGCCGGGCAGCGCCTGCGCCGCCGCAGCTGCAGGCGGCTCCTGTCGGGACGCGGGACTGCCAGTTGGAGGGCAGTTGGCGGACGTTTTTCGTCGTCCCCGCTTGGCGGCGAGCGCGGGGGGGGGGGCCTGAGGAGGGGCGGGCCTTCTCAGCAGGCTCGACGTCCCCGGGCTTTCCCCGAAGACACAAAAAACTTCTCAGAAGGCGCGAGGGCATGTGAGAAGTCCCGCCGCCTTCTGAGAAAACCTTATCCTTCACACTTCCCCCCTCGGCCGCCGCCGAAGCTAGCGGAAGCTATTTGCCGACCCCATGGAGCCCAGTAGCGCACCCGATCGCGAGCAGAGCGGGCAAGATGGGTCTCGCTCACATGGCGCTGTTGCGCGCTATTTGTCGGTATTTGAGCGCTGCTGGGCACTGCTGGGCGCTACGTGGGGCTATTGAGCGCTACTGGGCGATGTTCGCGCTACTGGGCGCTGTGCGCTGGGAGCACGCGCGCCTGCCACATGTAGATGCAAGTGGTGCCCTGCCCGCGTGTTCCACCATGGCCGTGCGTTTGCGCACGCACCGATAAACGCAAGGTCGATCCATGCGCGCCCAACGCGCTGAACGGGCAGCGCACGATAGGCACCCCCACGCGCGCGCACAATGACACATGCAATCACGAAGGCTGCGCGCTGGAAGCGTGGGACGAAGCATTCACCCCATCCCCAACCCGCTCCTCCGACCTCCTCCTCCTGCTCTCCACCCCCCCCGCCCCGCAGCACCCAACCAGCTATACGGAGCTGGTCCGGCGGGAAAACAGCTACATGCAGCTAGTTTCGCGCCGAACTAGCTACGCGCACGTAGTTCGGCGCCAGACCCAGCTGCATACAGCTAGTGCTCCTCGACGCACACCTCGACGTAGCAAGGCGGAGATTCTCATATGTGTAAACTAAATGAAAACGGCCCGGAATCAGCTGCTGTAGCTAGTTTCCCGTGCAAGCTTGCTGCGCCCATCTGGGTGCTGTCGTTGATCGCGGACCACCCGCTGACCAAAGACAGCGCCCAGCTGGGTGCAGTAAGCGTCGCGCCTGCTCGTGCTCCAGACGTCGCACTTGTGCTTTCGCCCGCGCTGCACGCCCTGAGCCATTAACAACTCCCCCTCCTTGATGCCGATTCCCCCCAGCGCCCCGACGCATCGCTCAGGAGGGCCGTTAAACCTACGGGGAGCTGCGAGACACGCGGGGAGCTCATGTTCGTAATATCATGTTCGCACAAAACTAGGGGGAAACAAACCTCCCTCGCTTTTGACCACCCTCGCTTCCAAGAGATACCAAACGATGCCAAATTGCAGCCTGTACTGGTCAGGCCGCTTGACGAGGAGGCGCGTGGTATGACTTGGTTTTGCCTGGAAGCGGAAGCGGGGGAGGTAATTCACGCTCTGAAAATCGCCCGTGCCGCGCCTCAAAGCACACGCGCTCGGATCGACAACGTCGTGATCGAGTGCCAGACCGCCTCGCCCGACTCCCTTGCGCCGGACGGCCAAGTGCCCCTGCCTGAACAATGCTGCCCCAGACCGCGCGCTTCGAGGCTCGCTCGGTTCCGCTCCCGCTCTGGCACCACAGAGTTCGCACGAGAAGCATGCTAGGGCGGAAATGCGAAGGAAGGCGGCTGGAGAGGAGAGGGATGGAAGGACAAAAGGAAAATTTGGAACTCGGGGAAAAGAAAAGGTAGGTACGGTGTTCGGCGTGTCAGACCAGCAGCAGGTATCAAATTCCGAATCCGCCCCTTTCCCTATCCCCCCCCTTTCGTCCGGCCCGATCGTGTCAGGGCAGGGGCGACGCAGCAGGAGCGGAGTGATCGAGTTAGCCGGATCGAACAAGCCAGCGGAGCCCGCCCATTCCCACCATCCCGCGCATAGCGAAGGAATCCATCGGAGGGGCTGGTAGACAGGGCCCGCCCTCGATATCATCCTCCAGGTGTAGGCTACGACTTGGGTGTTACCCCAAGCAGGGGCTGGTACTCCATAGACAGACCCTTCAACAGCAAAGGTTTTCTTGTGGCGGTACGCCCGCTCGCAGACATGGAAGCTTCGTCAGTGATCCCGCCTCCTCAATGATGGCACTGCCCGCAAGCTCCTTCTCCTCCTGCCTCCACTGGGCGCCATGCTCCCTCCTCCTTCTACTCCTCCTCCCGACCTGAAGTGACAGTGAAGGCTTCAGGGGACCCTGCCACCTACGCACCGAGCCGTCTCGGGTGGGCAGCGAGTCGCGGCCGACGTGGTCTTCTGACCCTTCCCTGCCCTTCCTGGCTGGGAAAACACAATCTTCTGGCAGCCTTCCGCCCGCCCGCCACTCCCTCCCCTCTGATCCCCTCTGCGCTCCCCTCGGCGGTGGACAAACCTCCCTTTCGTAAACCTCCCCTTTGAGAAAACGGCCTGGGACCGAAACCGACGCACCTGGACCCGCAAAAACGACGGCCGCGCCGCCCCCTCGCGAACCGAAAACGGCCAACTCCTGAATCGACGTGTCAGGGTAGGAGGGGCCTGTCCACCCCCCGAGCCCTCTCCCTTCAGATGTGAAGGGGAACTGGGACACACAAATAAATACACACAAATAAAAATATTCCCCATATTTTCCCATATTTTCTGGGTTTCTGTCTTCCCCCCCACATCCCATATTTTCCCATATTTTCTGGGGGATCGAGGATTCATTGTGTCTGTGTGTTTCTTTCCCTCCTGATAGGAGGCCTGTCCACCCCCGAGCCCTCTCCCTTCAGCTGGAGCCTCCTGGGCGTGGCTGGCCGCACTGCCGCCGGTGGGCTCGCCACCGCTCTGGCCCGGCGGGCCCGACTCCGCGGCGGCCGGCTCGAGGAGCACGCCGTCCGAGAAGCGGACCTCTGCGGCCCGCGGGCCGCCTCTCCCCTTCCGCCGCCTCCCCGCCGCTCCCGTCATTCGGCTCCCGCCCTCGCCCTCCCGGGGTGGCGACCTCGCCCTGCCCCCACCTAGGAAGGCACCAACTATACACCAACACCGATCCTGGCCAGGATCACCCTGGGCCCAGGTTTGGTGTATACGCCCTCCTGCCTTGCGCAAGAAGGCATATACATCGATCCTGGGCCCAGGGTGATCCTGGGCCAGGATCGGTGTTGGTGTATAGTTGGTGCCCTCCGACCACCGACCATCGATTTGTCTGTATCGATTCGAGGATCCTCAGAGCGCGGGTTGGCGTCCACGGAAGCCCTTCAAACACGACGCGGGCGGTGCAACGTTGGCTAACGCAGGCTGTGCGCCATCGGCGGAGCCGAAGTGGGCAAACGCACTTTTGGGCTAGCACATGTCCTGAAGATCATCAACCGAAGGGTTCGAGTTTCACCGCGCGTTCGACGAGTTTCGAGCCCTACCCCCGCCGACCATCGAGCTGCCTGAATCGTAGATCGGCGAGGGCGGGGTTCGGGTTTCGCTGCCGACTCCTCTCCCTCCTTCCTCGCCTCCCTCCCCCCTCTTTTGGACGCCTCCTCCCTCTCCCTCCCTCCCTCCCTCCCTCTCCCCCCCCTCTCCCTCCCTCCCTCCCTCCCTCTCCCTCCCTCCCTCCTCCCTCCCTCCCTCCCTCTCCCTCCCTGCCTCCCTCCCCCCTCTCCCTCCTTCCTCGCCTCCCTCCCCCCTTCCCTCCCTCCCTCCCTCCCTCCCTCTCTCTTTGGGACGCCCGGAATGGGTACGGAAAAATGGGTACAATGCCCAACAACAAGTGTTGTCCCAAGCCAGCAGCGGCCGCTGTTGGGCAGGCGGCCTTCTGTCTCAGATGGACACAGGGCCGCGGCGGCGCGGACAGCGAATCCTCTTCAAAATGCACAGGAACTGCTGTTGGGCATTGTACCCATTCTTTCCGTACCCATTTCGTTCGTGCCGATCTCTCCCCTCTCGGCGGTGGACAAGCCTCCCTTTATAGTAAACCTCCCTTTGGTGAAAACGGCCTGGGACCGAAACCGACGCACCTGGACCCGCAAAAATCACGGCCGCGACGCCCTCTCGCGAACCGAAAACGGCCAATTCCTGAATCGACGTGTCAGGGTAGGATGAAGGGGAACTGGGACACACAAATAAATACACACAATCAAAAATATCACCATATGTTCCTATATTTTCTGGGTTTGTGTCTTCCCCCCCACTTCCCATATTTTCCTATATTTCCTGGGAAGCGCAGATTAATTGTGTCTGTGTGTTTTTTCCTCTCCTGGTGGGAGGGGCCTGTCCACCCCCCGAGCCCTCCTCCTCCGCCACGGGCCCGCAGAGACCCGGGGAGAGGCCCTCCCGCGGGCCGCGCGTTTGGCCGGGCAGGGCGAGCCGCCGTGGCCGAGAGCCCCGCGGAGGCCTCCCGGCCCTCTCGGGCGGCATGGGCACCCGGGACACGAGGACTGCTACGATGAGAGGGCGAAGCATCCGCCCCCATGAAGCCCCCCAAGAGGCCCTGGGGGCCTCCAAAACGCCGCCAAGGATCCCCAAGAGACTCCCAAGAGGTCCCCAAGAGGCCCCCAAGAGGCCCTAAAGAGGGCTCCAGGGCCGGCGGCATGAGCGAAGCGATTAAATAACCACCCCGGCACGCGAAGCCGTCTACTAAGCGCCCCCACTGAAGGAATCGAACAGGGCAGGGCTGTTCAGTAAACGCCCGAGGCCGATCAGTAAACGCCAATTGTCTGGTCCGGGTGGTTTTCCCTCCCTTGAACAGTGGGTCCGTGTCGTGCCGACTTCGGCGTTGGTTCCTGACACCGCGGGGATTGATCAATCTTGAACGATCGGCCGTTTACGAAACGTCAGATCGTTCAACATCGACCGATTCTGGGTCGCCGGCGGCGTCCAACATTGAACGCCAGCAATGAGGTCGCCGCCAATCAACACGACGCGAACCTACAGTAACTCCCTGGACAACTCCTCTCCTGTGAGGGGGAAAAAGAAGGGGGAGCATCTCCTGGGGGTGGCGGGCGGGGGGGAGAGCAAATATCGAGCTCAAATCAGCGAATACATCGCCGACAGATCGGCGATCGTCGTTGAAAGGCCGTCGGTGCACGGCGCGCCTGGCAGCAGCGGAAAAGGTGGTGATGGCTTCTATCGCGGTGGTGGAAAGGAACTGTCCCGACGGTAGCACGTCCAGCTGTGGCATTCGTGGACGTCTCCGGCTCCGTCTCTCCCTCCACTGCCCTGTCCCAGCGCCCAGGCACCACTTCCTACCCACACAGCTACCTCCCTTCTTCCCTCTTCCTCACGCCCTCCCCCTTCCCTTCCCTCCCCCATCCTGTTCCACGCGCACTCTCTCTCTCTCTCTCTCCATCCTCCACCCGTCCCTACTCGTTCACCCTGTGCCTCTTCGCCTCTCATCCGTCTCCTCACCCTCCTCCTCCTCATCATCATCATCCTCTTCCACCATCTCCCACTCCCCCTTCCCAAAATCCTCATCCTCCTGATATCGCCCCGAAGCCTCATCGTCCCTCCTCCTGCGACTTACTCCGACGTGGTATCCTGAGAGTCCCTCTTCATCAGCCTGCCCTCTCATCAGCTCTACCATCTTTACGTCTCGTGCGCCTCCTCACCCCGCTCCTCCTTCCCCCGAGGAAGGGAAGGAGACAGGGGGAACCGACAGGGGACGACGACGAAGACTGGGACGAAGAGGCAGCCTGAGGAAGAGGAGGGAGGAGGAGGGAAGGGAAGGAGAAAGGTACCACAAGGCAAGAGGACGATGATCAGCATATTGAGCAGAAGGAGGAGCATGAGCAGGAGAATGACGCGGATGAGGACGAAGAGAACGGGAGAAGAGATAGGACAGGGAAGGAAGACGACAGAACGAGGGCAGTGCGGAAGTGGGCAGGGAGAAGAGGTCGAGGCGGGAGCGGCAGGTTCTGGCGAGCGAGGATGAGGATGAGGATGAGGATGAAGATGAGGAGGAGGAGGAGGAGGAGGAGGAGGAAGAGGAGGAGGAGGAGGGGACGAGGGGAAGTCGCGGCGAGCCAGGGTGGGAAGCGAGAAGGGGCGGGCCTTCTCAAAGGCTCGGAAGCCCCCCGGCCTCCCGAGAAGTTTCCTGAGCCTTCCCCGAAGACGCAGAAAACCTCTGCCGAAGGCTGGAGATTTTCTGAGAAGCCCCGCCGCCCTCTGAGAAGGCCTTCTCCTTCTCACTTCACCCCCCCTCTCGCTCGCCGCCGAAGAGGGGAAGGCGGGCGAAGGAAGGGGCGGGGCCGAGGAGGGGGCACGGGAGGGAGTCGGCTTGCTCGCTGTGGGGACCCTCCCGAGGCCGCTCGCTCCACTCGTGCGTCGACGCTGCGCGCAACGTCCGTCGACTTGACCCGACCCTGAGTCGGGCTCGAGCTCGAGCCGAGCTGGAGTCGAACGAGAGTCGAACTGCGTTCGAACTCGACTCGAAGTGGGTGGGCCCAAGGACAATTCCCAAACAACGGGCATCAAGCATGATTCATCCCCTTGATTCATCCCCCTGAACCTGGTTCCCCCCGTGAGCGTGCCCTCTGGTTTTCGGGCCAGAACTCGGCTCCCTGGCGGCCGTTCGTGGCGGTTCCGGCATTCCCCTCGTTGTCCTCGACGGGGCTCAGCTGATGGAAACCGCCCCAAAGCTGGGGAAACACTGAGGTACAAATACCGCCACTCCCCAGACCTCTCTCGGGCTGCGTTCTGACCATAGTTTCGAGGCGGATCCAGCGCTGGCGACGAGGGCCACCGGGGAGGCCGAAAAACGGGGAAACGGGAGAAACGTACTGGTATGGGTGCGTTGTCCTTCTCTGAGTAACCGCCTCATAGTCCGGAAGACAGCGAAGAACCGAAGAACACGTCCGAAACCCTCGAATGAGGCACGGGCCTTGTGCTCGGCCTGCCAGTCCGCCGCGAGCTCGCGCACCCTGGCGTCGAATGCCCGCAGGTCCTGCAGCACCAGCTCCTCGGGAGGCTCGCGCCCAGGCCCCCACGCCGTCTCCTCGGGGGGGGAGGGGGGTCGAGGACACACACACACACACACACACACCACCACCACCACCACCACCACCACCACCACCACCACCACCACCACCACCACCAACACCAACACCAACACCAACACCAACACCAACACCAACACCAACAACAACAACAACAACAACAACAACAACAACAACAACAACAACAACACCAACACCAACACCAACACCAACAACAACAACAGCAACAACAACAACAACAACAACAACAACAACAACCGCAGCAGCAGCAGCAACAGCAACAGCAGCAGCAGCAGCAACAGCACACACAACACACACACGCACGCACGCACGCACGCACGCACACACACATACATATACACACATTCAACAGTAGATATCCATATCTACATCTGTGTAGCTGTACTAATACACGAAATATCTGTATACATAGAAACCTGATCCGTCCAGACCTTCGTCCCGCTGGGGGCCGCTCGGTCCCGAGCGCGCCTGAAGGGCCCAAGACGAGGGCCCAAAGCTGGGCCAAGAGGGCTACAAGACACCCACGATGGCCCCAAGTCAGTCTGAGAGGACCCCCTTTTCGCTCCAAGACACCCCAAGAGGCCTCCCAAGGGAGCCCCAAGAGGCCAAAGTCGCCAAGTTCCTTTTGTGAAACGTACATTGTCAGCATCAGCACCTTCTCGCCTTCCCGATGCTCCAAGACGGCCCAACCAAGACGCCCCCCAGATCGCCCCAAGACGGCCCAAGAGGCACTCAAGAGGCCCCCACGACGGCCCAAGAGGGCCCCAAGACGGCCCAAGAAGCGACCAAGACGGCTTCAGGGGGGCCTAAAACTGCCCCCCAGAAGCACCAAGGACCCCCACAGAGGCCCTCAACAGGCCCCAGCTCCCCAAGAGGCCCAAACAAGGCCCCAAGAGACGCCAAAACAGCCCCCTAAGAAGGGTCAAAACTGCGTCCGAAAAACACCCTGCAAGCTTCTTGGGCCCCCTGGAATAGTACGGCGACGGTCAGATAACCAGTATCTCTCTATATATACACATATATATATATATAGATGGGTGTGTGCATGTGTAGCGAGAGGCAAGCCAGTGTGTATGTGTGTGTGTGTCGCCTACCCTGGTTTGGCCACCAAGCTGCAATGTGTAGGTGCTCAAGTACCTGCTTCTAGTTCCCGAACTGTGATGCTAGATTTCCTCTAGGCCACAACCCCTTGTCCAATCCACAGGATTCGCATCCACGAGGCCGCAACCAATTGCATACATTACGCCAACTTCGCGTTCCCGAGGCCGTAATCCGTAAATTACGCCAGGCTCGCGCTCCCTCAACCACAACATCTTCTAGCGTACGCAGGACTCGCACTCCCGAAGCCACAATTCCAGCGTGAATTGCAACAATCTTGCGCCCGCGAGACTTAAGTCCCTTCTGAAGTACTTCGTGGCGCTCCCGAAGCCACAATCCCTTGGAAATTACGCCAGACTGGCGTTCCACAAACCACAATCTCTTGTAACACATTCCAAGTTCGCGCTCTCGAGGTCTCACCGTGCAAAGGTTGCGCCTTCGAAACCAACACCTTTGGACAATTACTAACGCGTTGGTGTTCCCGAGGCGATGCATCCGCTGCAAACAGCAATGAGCAATGTACTTGTGTGTATCGGTGCACCTACCTCTATGGCTATATAAATATATACAGATGCATATGTATATATATATATATATATATATATCGAACGAAGCTTTTTTATATACATATATATATATATATATATATATATATATTGATGTATGTATATATATATATACATCTACATCCAGATCGGTTCTGGAAGCATGTTTCGACCCTCCCGTCGTTGCCTGTGAATTCGGCTCGGGGCTCGAGGACCCGAGTCCTTGTAAATAGCTAGGGGCGTGCGCTCCCGATTCCTCGAACGCTCGAAAATGACAATCCACCATCCCTACTTGATCATAACAGACGCGAGCAATCAGCCAGCCAGCAAACAGCCCACGACAACTGCCACTTCTCAGTTTAGCCAACAAGCGAATCAGCCGAACTGCCACCCAGCCAACCAACATGAACACCAAGCTAAACACCCCGCAAGCGTTGCCATGCAGTGACAATGCAAATCACACATGCGTATAAACACATATATATATATGTAATATATATATATATATATATCCGCTTATCTATGCGAATATATATGTATGCATCTATACGTGTCGACATGTGGAAAGAGGGGGAGACAGAGACAGAGAGAGAGAGACACACAGAGAGGAAGTGAAAGAAAGATGGAGAGACAGAGAGAGGGAGAGAGAGAGAGAGAGAGAGACAGAGAGAGTGGAAGAGGGCGACGACTCGGACGACGATGAGGGGGGCTGCCGAGGAGCGGCGGAGGAGGCGCAGCATCTCCTCCCACACCTGGTCGAGTGCCCAACGCTGCTGCTGCGCGTCCTTGGCGCTCTCGAACTCGAATGAGTCCGGGAACTCCTCCTCGGGGGGCCCCCCTCAAAACGATCCCTCCCGCCTAGACCTTGGGGCCCTCCACTGAGGCCTGGCCAAGAAGGGGGAGCATCGAGGTGGAATCAGCGGTACGTCGCCGACAGATCGGCGATCGGCCCCTAATAGCGAATGCATCGGCGGGAACTGGCTTAGAGGGGGTAACATCGACCTGGAATCGGCGATTCATCGCCGATGGATGAGCGATGGGCCCCGATGGCGAGTCCGCACGTTCCTGGGCGGGTGGGGCTATCACGCCCCTATCGACGATGAGTAGGCCTGGGGCCTTCCCCCGGACCAACTTCTCGTCCCGAGTTTCGGGTGCGTCCCAGAGGGGAGCGCACACGAGGGAGTTCGCAAATCATCGCCCGAGGCATGTGCGCCGACGTGGGGGGACCAAGAGACATATTGAAATACGGAAAGGGGGCCATGATAGTACCTGGAGAGATTTCATGGCCCCAGCCATCATGTCCACCCACCGTAGTCATCACACCCTCTTGGCCGCCCCCGAGAGCTGCTTCTCTGTGCGGTCCCCGGGTGTCCGGGGAGGGCCCTGGGGTGTCCGACAACGGAGCCGACTCTCTGGGGACGCGCCTTCCCCATGCGAGAACGGCGACCATGCACCGTCCCACGTTTGGACGTCCTGCAGGCCCCGCTCCAACGCGGCACGGTGCACAACTTGTCGGCTCAATGAGGTGCCGAACATCTATGCTGAAGGGGCCCCAGGACACACAAATAAATACACACAAATAGAAAGATTCCCGGTATTTTCCTATATTTTCTGGGTTTTTGTCTCCCCCCTCACTTCCCATATTTTCCCATATTTTCTGGGGGATCGACGAATAATTGTGTCTGTGTGTTTTTTTATTACCTAACAGCGAAGACTGATAGGTTTCTAGTGGTGTCAAAAGAGAGCATCTGATGACTCAGAAGGGAGGTCTGGGCGGCATCCGGACAGCGAGGGCCGGGCTCAGGGCCGGGCTCGTTTTAAGCAAACAGTCACGCACTTCGTGCTCTTCGACCTCCCAGAACTCCATTCCCGGGCCACATTTTGAATGCCCGAAGCCAACTGTAGGCCACTTCGTGCTCTACGACTTCCCAGAACTCCATTCCTGGGCCACATTTTGGATGCTCGGAGCCAACTGTAAGCCACTTCGTGCTCTTCGACTGCCCAGAATTCCATTCCCGGGCCACATTTTGGATGCTCGGAGCCAACTGTAGGCCACTTCGTGCTCTTCGACTTCCCAGAATTCCATTCCCGGGCCACATTTTGAATGCCTGGAGCCAACTGTAGGCCACTTCGTGCTCTTCGACTTCCCAGAACTCCACTCCCGGGCCACATTTTGAATGCCCGGAGCCAACTGTACGCCACTTCGTGCTCTTCCACTTCCCAGACTTCCAAGACTCATCATCTTCATCATCATCATCATCGTCCCCGTAGCCTTCTTGGCTGCTGCTGCTGCTAGTGTAGCTATTGCTGCTGCTGCTGTTGCTGCTAGTGTAGCTATTGCTACTGCAACTACTGGCAGTGCCACTGCGACTGCCGCTGATGTTGCCACTGCGACTGCCACTGCGAATCCGAATGCGACTGCGAGAACACCAGAATTCTACAACAGCACTCTTACATGAATACCACAGGCAATGTTTCCAGCTATGCTTCTACACATCGCTGTTAGGTTGCTTTGCCGGGATAATCTCCTGATCAACGAGGGGCCGAACATCTATGCACCGTACCAGTCCCGCGTCGAGGATCGACGACGCCTCGGGAGACGCAACCGCGGTACGCTGCACAGATGTCGTCCGCGGACCCTGCCCTCTTCGCGTCGACTGTTCCTCTGGCGACCTCTGGCGAGCCGCGAAGGGCTCGAAGTCGTCGTCGTCGTCGTCGTCGTCGCCGTCGTCGCCGTCGTAGACGTCGCAGACGTCGTAGACGACGTCGCCGTCGTCGTCGGCGTCATCCTCGTCGCCCGGGACCCGCCCCCATCGCGCCGAACGCTCCTGCACGAGGCCGAGCACGCCCACGCCCACGGGGCCCAGGAGCTCCAGCACCGGCAGCCGCCACGGCAGCACGCAGGCGGCCGCCGCGAGCGGGCACAGCGGCGCGTCGCCGTCGGCGCCGTAGGGCGCGCGCAGCGCCTGCGCGCGGCGTGGCGCCTGGCGGAGGTACTCGATCAGCGTCCAGACCGAAACCTTCAGGAGTCGGCGGCGCGCAGAGGGGGGTAAGGGGGGTGAGGAGGTCGCTTCTCAGGAGCCGCCGGCCCTACATCTGCAGACAAGGCACACGCCTTCTAACAAGCGGGGGTGCCTCTAAGAAGCCTTCCCCCCTCCTCCCTCCCCCTACCACCCCCCCTGCGCGCGGCAGAAGTAGGACACCGCTCCCGAGGCCCTGGCATCTCGACCTCTTCGAGCCAGGCGTCTTCGCCCGCTGGTCGGGGCTCGGGGCCCTCGCAGGTGGAGCCGGCGCGAGAAGCGCTGCAGGAAGAGCGGGTCCAGGGCCGCGGCCGTCATTTTTTCCGATGCCGCAGCTTTGTTCGCAGCGTCGGATCTCGGGGGCCTGCGTACCTGCACCCCGGTCAGAGCCCACCCGTAGCCCAGGATGCGTGCCAGGGTACGCCCTTCGGGTTCGGCAGGGAGTGGATGCACGACGGTTCTGGGCCCGGGACGGGCCCGGCCAGGATCGGTGTGCGTGTGTAGCCGACACCCCCTGAGACCTTGACGCAACACGTGGTCAGGTAGGACGGAACGAGCCCGTTCGCGAAGGCCGAGATCGTCCACAGGACACCCGTCAGGAACACCTCACAGGTGCGCTGCTGCTCCGCCGCCATGGGAGCACCGTGGGCTGTCGAGCCGTCGTAGGCCAGCAGGTCGGCCAGAACATCGGGCCATGGCGGCTAGCCACCCGAGGGGCCAAGAGGGCCCATGGAAAACCGGGCAGACCCTGCTGGGGGAAACCCCACATCACCAGTGGGAGGATGAAGCTCTGCTCGATTGTTCTGGGTCCCAGGGCCCTTAGGGCGGCAAGTCCGCCATGGACATCGGGATCGGCAATGCTGAACTCCCAGACTTTGAGACCCCCTGGGGCCACACTCTTCGCAGCTTTCATGAAGCGCGCCCCCCGCGATTTGTAGCGGGGCAATAGCCACTCCATGTGGTTCTTCCGGGGAGCAAGAAACGAATACATCTTCCCCACCCCGCCTTCATTCACGGGCGGCGAACGTATCCATATCCACGCCCGTCGCGGTCTGGATACCCCGGAGCGATCCCGCGGACACACGGTCGCATGGATATATTCCGCGCTGGGCGTTGCAACAAAAACGCTCCGTATTCGCTGGGTCGCGGCCCAATAGGCCAGCCCGCGAGGCTGTGGATACTGACATGTTGTTCGCCCCCGATTCGTCCAGCCCGACATTCTCTCAGATGCCCCCCCTCTCCTTCCCCGAAGCGGGTGGGGTAAAGGTGCACTCTTCCTCCCCCTATTCGCTCCCTTCTTCGGGCGCTTGATGGCCGGCGACAGGTAGTCGTGGCCGCCCAGCAGCGACATGAACGCGATATCCGCAGCAACAGACTGGCTCCTGACAAACTCAGTCGGCAAGACTGCGCCGATGCTCCCTCTGGCGGAAGCGGCCGACGGCGCTGGGGAGATGCCGAGCTTCTCCGCCAGCCTAGAGACGATGCACACCTCGTCGGTGTAGACCGCAATCTCACCGCGGATGCCACCGCTCATGGTCAAGGCGATAACTACGAGATCGGCGTCGCCCCCTATGATGATGTGCTGAGAGGCCCCATCCGACCGCTCGCGCTCCAGTATGGCCGTCCCGATCTTGTGCTCGCCAGGGCTCGACCGAAACGGTGCTGTCCGCTTGCGTGCTGTTTTCGCTGTCCCCCGTCCTCCCTTCGCTCCGCCCTTGCTGCAGAACAGAGCCACAACGAAAACGGCCCACGACATCGACCAGGCACCTTTGAGCTCGAGCCCCGGTGCTCGCCCTCGCCTGGCGCGTTGGCGTCCCAGAACGCCACGGGGCACCGCAGCTTCCCCTCCGCCTGCCTCTGCCGCAGGCCCTCTGGCAGCTGCGAGCACAGGGCGTCCATGACGTCGGTGCCCGGCGTGAGGGCCAGCCCGATGAGGTCCCCCCCCGCGATCTGCGCGTCGGCCTTCTTGGCTATCCGGCTCCTGCGGCGCTCCCTCTGCTCCTGGAGCTTCTTGACCGAGGGCGGGCCGTCCACGCACAGGGTGAGGGAGCTCACGGAGACGCCGCTCTGCTCCACGGAGTCCAGGTACCAGAACACAGACGACAGCACGTCGTCGATGAATCTCTGCACGTCCTCGTCGGTCAAGGCCGCCGACGATATGGTCATGCGGCCGGTGCAGCCGTGCAACACGTGATTCAGATCGAAATAAAGGTGCACGTGCTCCCATGGTATGGCGTCCAGCTTCACGAATACATCTGGATACGCCTGACGAAGAAATGATGAGTAACCTGGGATCCCCATGCTAACGAGACATCGGTCGCCCCGTACCCTTGAACCAGAAAACCTGTGGAGCACGCTCCCATGGACATTGAGGAGGAGCGCAGCATGGCCGTGGGTAACGGTGGGTAACGATGTCGGTCGGCGATGGCATCTGGGCGGACCCCAACACGAAGCACAGACGAACATGCCAAGCGAGACGTCAGGATGCATATTTCCTCCAAAGGGACACTAGCCTCTGGGGAATGGGTGGTTGGAAGCTGCACAGCGGCAGACAACGCTGTGGGCGATAGCCGTATCGGCCTTGCGCCTCCCGAGAGATTCAGATGCCCGGTGAACGAGGGCAAACACAAAGATACAAGGCTTCGGAGCACTTCCCCGCAATCAACCAAGGACATGAAGAGGACAACGACGAAGCTAGACGGAGGAGGGGGGGACGGAGGAGAGAGGACTGAGGAACATGACAAGGACGCATCATGGGGTGGAGAGGAGGGATGACGACAAGGGGGAGCGGGCAGGGAGAGGTGAGGGAGCAAGGCTGAGGATGCAGGAGGCACGGATAACTTACAATCAGGCCGTTGGCTTCACACCAGGAGCTCGGGAGATCGTGCATGCATGCTCCCTGCTGGTCCTGGACAGAGCAGAAGTCGGAGAGAGGGGCTCTCGCCCATGGCCTGTCGAAGAAATCCTCGTTGGGGTCGTCCTGGGCCAGGCCGTGCTCCTCCGTAGGGGCGCCCGTTCGAGCGGATGCGAGAAGATCGAAGGCTCTAGCTGAATGCCCCCTGGGGAGCAGCAACACAGGAGGGAGTATGGATGAGGAAAGGGAGCGCGAGAAGAGAGGAAGGATAATAAAGGACGATAGTGATTATGGTGATCATCTTGAACAGTCGAAGATCGCCAGATGAATGAAACGCACGTAGAACTGACGAACTGACATACGCTTGGGCACGTCATCAAACTCAACTGCGCCAGGCTCGTTCGCCGTCACAGGTGCTCGCAAGGCGGGGATCTATCAATCCGCCGGCCCCCTTGTGGGGCCACCAGGCTGTAGGCACGTGATTCGCAGTTTCCTGTACCAGCTGTAGCTTGTAGTTTCCAGTGTTACAGGTTTGCTTCTTGCTGGTTACTGTAACTAGTTGATTGACCGCGCGAGGGGGGGGAGGCCCCAACGGGATTTTTAGCGTCCCCTGGGCGCGTTGTCTGAATTGCTGGGGGGGCTCGAAATCATCACCCCTCACGCAGATCCGCGGGGTCAGGGTCCAACAACACAAGGGATTTGCTACATTTCTGAAATTCGGTGCCACCCCTCACGCAGATCCGCGGGGTCAGGGTCCAAAAACACAGGGGATTTGCCACATTTCTGAAATTCGGTGCCACCCCTCACGCAGATCCGCGGGGTCAGGGTCCAAAAACACATGGGATTTGCCACATTTCTGAAATTCGGTGCCACCCCTCACGCAGATCCGCGGGGTCAGGGTCCAAAAACACAGGGGATTTGCCACATTTCTGAAATTCGGTGCCACCCCTCACGCAGATCCGCGGGGTCAGGGTCCAAAAACACAGGGATTTGCCACATTTCTGAAATTCGGTGCCACCCCTCACGCAGATCCGCGGGGTCAGGGTCCAAAAACACAGGGGATTTGCCACATTTCTGAAATTCGGTGCCACCCCTCACGCAGATCCGCGGGGTCAGGGTCCAAAAACACATGGGATTTGCCACATTTCTGAAATTCGGTGCCACCCCTCACGCAGATCCGCGGGGTCAGGGTCCAAAAACACAGGGGATTTGCCACATTTCTGAAATTCGGTGCCACCCCTCACGCAGATCCGCGGGGTCAGGGTCCAAAAACACAGGGGATTTGCCACATTTCTGAAATTCGGTGCCACCCTTCACGCACATCCATCGCAAGGCGTGGTAACCCAAACTGCGAGAACTCCCGCGGCCCTTTAATCGCAAGGTGTGGTAACCAAGCCCGTAAACCATACACGTCTTACCAATCGCCAGGGGTGGTAACCCCTCTTGTGATCAGTTGGTTTTGCTGATTGCGAAACGGCTTCGCATGAAGTTTCGATACTGCTTCACGACAGCGCCAAGACCTCATGACTTAGCTCTTCCATGGCCCATTCTCCAAAAGAGGGGGGCCGGCGGCAGGGGGCGAAGCCCTTACGGATAACTACCGCTTTCTGGGACCTCGGCAGGCGGTGGATACATGATCCTGGATCGACGCCGACGCCGACGCCGACGCAGACGCCGACGACGACGGCCGACGCCAACGCCGACGCCGACCCCGACGCCGACGACGACGACGACGACGGACGACGGACGACGGACGACGGACGACGGGCGACGGACGACGGACGACGGACGAAAACGACGATAACGACGCCGACGCCGACGCCGACGACGACGGCGGCGACGACGACGAGGACGACGAACCACCCCACACCCGCAGAGGGAGGGCGGGGGGTGCACCGGCGCCCTCCACCGCGCCACACCCACAGGGCCGCGACCACATGGGGGGAGGGGGGAATGATCGTATTCGCGACACCTTCGCGAGGCTCATGAACGTACCCATCTAGCTGGAAGGGGGCTCGATCATAGATGCATTGGCGGGGGACACGGGAGCGGCGGGCAACCCTGGATCATATATCCCCCCCTCCAGGGTCAGAATAAATTCTGCCGAAATCTAATAATACCGATCCCCCAAATGGTGGGTATGGACAAATCCCCGCCTCGGAAAACTCTCGTTTACATCCCTCACGCACCTCTCCCAAGAGAGGCATGCGAGTTCCACCTCAATGTTCCTCCGCCTCGTTCTCTCCCCCCTCCTTTGCCTCCTCGCCCCTCTCCACCATTCCTACTCGACGAACTCCCAGTCGTGCCGGTGAAGTGGTCCATGCGCTTCGCCCGAGGCGTCCTTACCACTTCGGATAATGAGGCTCCACACCTTCCACTTTCTGGATGCAGGGCGGGCGTGCCCAAACTATGGCACTCGCCTCAGCGCCGCGCGCATCCGTGACTTAACATGCATCGCCAGAGGGCAAATCGTTGAAAAAAATCCGGCTCTCGCGGGACACGTCCTCAACCTTGATTGCCAAAACAAAAAAAAAACGTCACGACTTCAGGGGTAGAGGGCGGCGCTTTTTCAACATGTGGCTCTCGCGATGGGGTGCAGCTGCCAAATCACCGAACGTTCTCATTCACGCTACCCGTGCACGAATGAAGAGAGGGCCACCGCCGAAACGGGACGATCGCTGGACAAACCCTTGCACGACCCGATCCTGACATGCCTTTGACATAGTTCTTGTCGTTAGAATTGGACGGGAATGATGTCATGATAGAACTGGCTCAGATACGCTGCAGGTGCTCAAGAGTGCGTCCCCAACGGCCCTCGTCTCTGCGGCCCCAGGGGCATCGGGACATCTAGGAAATCTTGAAGTCTTGGAAATCTTGGATAGCATCCGCCTCGTGACCTCGTGTTCCTCCGAAAGAGGCAGGAGACAGGACAGGACAGGACATCCGCATACAGAGGAGCCGTGGGGTACGACAGGCCAAATCCCCTGCGAGTTGAGCACGCCGCAGACCTAGACTTCTCACGGGGGCCGGCAGGAGGCATACCTCGGAGCTCCAGCATAATTACCCCGAAGCTCCAAGGGGCGAGTTCCGAGGTGGCCCCGTGGAGGAGGCTCGCTACTTTGTGAGTACAAGTCCTTACGGGTCAGCGCGGGGGGAGCAGCTGTTGGCCCTCTCGCGCGCCCGTGACGACGGGGGCGCGCTCGGCGAGCAGGGCCCCCAAGGATGGGGGGGGCGACGACGCGACCTCACTCGGCGCAGGGAAGAGAGGAGAGGATGCAGGGGGCCCTTTCGTGCCAAGCTTTTGCCGGGGGGGGCGAATCATTATTCTACCTGCGACCTGCCGCGCCCGCACTTCCAACGGAGTCTCTCCCTCTCTATGCTCGCTCCTCTTCCTGGGCGCGCCGGCCGCCGGTTGAACCATGCAATGTCGTGTCTGGCGCAGTCCTGTGACGTAGCACTCTGTATCCAAATTCTCTGCAGCGCTTCAATTGCACCGCTAAAGTACCCCCGTCCATCCGGCGAGCAAGCAGGGTCGAGCAAACCTGTTGTTGTCACGGCGTGTAAGAGGCTTTCCCAATCTGTCATGCTGATCACGCACCGCTGTCGCTTCGCGGGAAGAGGGGCCCTGAGGGATTACACTCCAGTGGCCTTCGTGGGGGGCCTCGTCGCCCAAGTGATGGTGCACCTGTCGGCGCTCCAAAAAACTGCAATGACGCCACTCCGTTCGAGCTCCTCTCCTCAGGGTCCGCGCGCCGAAGTGCCCCCGCCAGCGACGGCCCCTCTTAGCTCGCGCGCGGCTGCCGGGGCCGCGCCGCCCTGTCTGCCCGGGGTCGTGCTCCGAGTTGCCCCCGCTGGCGCTCCTCTTGGCCGCGCACGCGAAGGGGGGCCCTCGCGCGCGGCCGCTGGTGCTAGCAGCCTCACCTGACTCGGCGCGCGCTTCGAAGACCTCGGCGCCGTCCAGCGGGGCGCTCGCGCTGTCGCGGAAATCCTGGCGTTTCTTGAGCCTCTCGACCTCCTGCTTCTCGAGATCCACTGCTGATTTTAACTACCTCGCGGCTACCTCCATGACGCTCTGTAGGTTCTCCGCGTCGTTCTCCGCGATCCGCAGCGCAAGATCGCACCAGCTGCGCGTCGATGAGAACATATTTCCTGCTGCTTTCCGGATGTCAACTGGGCGCATTTCAATCGGCGCGCAGCCCTTGCCTTGGTGCGTCATCGGGAAGGGCAATGGGATCAGCTGGCGCAATTCCTCCGGGCTCATATTCTGGGACGCGTCGCAGAACTTGCAGCGGTTCCCTTTGATGGCGTCGTCGAATGCTTGCGGTACGAGCGCCCGCCACTTCTCGCCAACCTCGAGCTCCGCCACCATTGATGGCCCTTTGCGGCGCGACTGGAACCTCGACTTGCAGCCGATCTCGGGCCACTTCTCGTAGTCCTCGTTGAAGTCCCTCCTCATCTTGTCCACCAATTCTTTCATGAGCTCGTCCTCGGGGGAGCTTTCCTGCGTCGTCACAAGCGCCTTCCAGTCCATATCGCGCCAGAACTTCTGTCGCTGTCTCCTCGGGGCAGCGCCGGGGCCTCTCCGCCGCATCCTGCTGGGGAGGGCTGGCCCGCGCGAGAAGGCGCATTCTTGTTATGTCCCAGCCCGCGTTCCTCCTGCGCGCGTTGAACATATGCATGTCGTCGCCCCACTTGTCCGCGAAGTAGTGCGCCTGGAGGCACTGTGTCTGCTTAGCACCCATGTTCTTGCGCGTCTTGTAGTCGCCGAGCCCGTGCAGCTCCTTCTCCTTCTCTTCCAGCTCTTGCTTCAGCTCTTGCTCGGATGTCTTCAACGCTTCCTCGTCCGCCACGTCCATGAACATGTACTTGCGCACCGTGATGGCGCACTCTTCCGCGCACTTCAGTTCGCTCGCCACATGTTCTCCTGCCTTGCTGAAGGCCGCGACGATACCCCACTCTTCTTGACGCCCTCCAACAGGGCCTTCGACATCTCCATGGACCGCTCGATGACCTTCTTGTTCCTCTGGTTGCGTGACTTCTCGGGCCCTTCCTCTGCTTCGATGATCGCCCTCGCTGCCTGGAGTTGCCCCGGATATTGAGCCGCCCACACTGTGCCCTTTGCTCCCTGCTTCTGCTTACGGCAC